GCGGAGTGGCGTCTGGAGAATGCGAAATGTTGGAAATGATGTCCCATCAGAGACCCGACAGCCGAATATTCGGGACTGTCCCGACTGTATGGGCCATAGCACAGTCTTACTGAAAACATTTCGTTCTGAGACACAATTTTCTGTCGCGACAGAACTGATGATACAAAGGAAGGATATCAAAACAAGTGTCCGGTAGCAAACCAGACTTACAGGCAGAACATTATCCCCCAAACCAGAAAAAAACAACAGTTTTATCATTCAGAACTCCAAAAATGGTATGCCATATTATCACATCTATAGGCATTCTTTATGAAACAGAGAAAAAAAACTTTATATGGAAACCGTGTGCTTTTCTATTTTCGAACTAGTATCAGGGCAAAGCCGTTTTACATTTTTTTTTTAATTTGATAGATTAGAAGTTGTTGAAAAATTCCGATATTCATCCAAACTAATATATACTTTATATAATACCATACACTAACATTCCCTTCTATTTCTGCGGGTTTATTTAACGATGCTTGCAGCACTGAGACGATACAGAGTCGGTTTCCCACAAATTCCACAGTTTTTGATCAAATTCGACGAAGAAAACTTCCACCAAACTTTGTCGGCCAATTCACCAAGAAGCTCTATTTTATATAAAGCTACATGCGAACCACTCACCACAACACTTAGAACCGAATAGCCTCCAAGAATATACACATCGCTGCAGCAACACAACGCAACAATGGCAACACAGCATAGAAGAAAACGGAGAGCGCATAATAACACAGAACCTAAATCATATTATTTTATATAGAGACTAAAATTTGTTTTACAAATTAAACCGAAAAAAAAGGTTAGATTTTACCTCTTAAGCACATTGAAGTATACAGTGCAGCGTAACACTCTGAAGGTCATACGCGCCTGATGTTGGCCTCATACGGCCGAAACCTCTTCTAAAATATATGCTATCATGATTTAGGGGTGTGTGACTACACACAGAGTGTAGACTTGTAAATGGATTTATTGACCACTCATACACACGACTCGGAACTACACTCTAAGAGTTCACTGACTCACACACAGACTAGTGTCCTCAGTATATTACAGTCTCCACTAGCCGTTTCCTGGTGACGGATTCAACATAGTGGGGATTTTTAAGCTTCCGTGGTCCCGCCGTTGCTCGCTGGTTAACACTCTACATCTGAACTCATAGCGCCATTTTCTCAGCCTCCCCTTGCAGAGTCCAGCTCTCGACTAACTGCTCACTTGGAACTCCGGAACTCGACTCAGTATTCTCAAAGTCAGAGTCAGTCACATTGCGACTGACGGTCGGTCAGTCAGTCAGTCAGTCAGTCAGTCAGTCAATCAGTCAGTCGGTCTTGGTGTCGAGCCCCAATATTTATTATCGTTTGACACATACGAGTATGGTCTTGTTTTTATGGGGCGCCCTCTCTAACGAGAGGACGGGCCTGCCTTTTGTATATGCCGCTGGGCCTTGCCAGCGCAGTCTTTCTCGGGTCCGAGTTTGTTGAGACTCGCGACCATACGGAACTATTCTTTATAACCACTCTGCACAGACCGAACAGAAAACACCGTTTCCAACAATTTCAAGAGCAGTTCTCTATCTGCTTATCTTGTCTGCCGGACATGACGTAGTGCCAACTGCATTCAATACCGGAATCACATCTAGCACATGCGCACATTGGTATACTGTCCCTATGGAAAGAACTACGTGCTGTGTCATAAAACCCCGCCAGTTTTCACAGTATTTTAATATATTGTACACTTAGCTAGTGGTCGTTTTTGGTATTGAAATTCAAGATTTTCTAAATACATCGCAGCCTCTTCTGAATGAGCCGAATACGTCTGGGGGGAATAAAGGTAGAGTTCCACGCATTCTTAACCTCGGCACTAGACGGAAGCTGTCACCTTCATGCCCTGGTCTCTTTACCCCGGCGGAAAGAGACTACATTACTCACTGGATGGAAGGCTGGGTGTGACCCAGAGCCGGTGTGGACATGTGGAGAAGATAAATCCTCTTTGTCTGTGCCGGTAATAGAATCCCGATTCATGCACTGCCCAGCCTGCAATTTAGCCCCTACATAAACTCACCTACCCGACTACTACATAACATACTTGTAGTGATGGTTTTTGCCTGATGCATTGCTTTATATTTGAGGGTGGTAGTGGAGTTCATGCTTAGCACTGTGGCGTGAACTTCATTCCATTCATATCGCTTTGTTACAACGCTCTACGTACGTAGACTATATAATGTCGAAATGTAGGACGAGAGATAAACTATGAATTCTTCCACACATTTATTATACATAATCTGCAGAGTCTGCTATAAATATATATGTTCAATAAGTACTTCCGGTCTAGAAAACCGAAATTAACGGCCGTGGGGATTCGTTGCGCTTACCACGCGACACGCTCTATCCGCTGAAGTTGGCACTAACTTCACCGACAAGCGGCGGTCGCTCGGTCGGTATAGTTCGTTCGCGAATTAAAACCACGGATTTTGTTTTGTTTGTTTTTTTTGTTCAATAAGTACTGGCTCGTGAATGAGTTATGCCCAGTGGCGTAACTCATATATTTTGTTCATTTAGGTATCATTTTAATTCTTGTACTGGAGTTTTACTGAGGTCTGTCTGATAGAGTTAAGACGGTGTAATTTTCCAGTCTGTGTGTAGTTTCGCTGTTGTCTAGTAGGTTCACTGCTTGTGCATTTGTGTGGTGTTATAATTTTTTAAAATATTTCGTATTCCACTTTTTTATTTCACTGAGCACTGCCTTCATTTGTAGATCAAACGTTTAATTGGAAGAAGGTTTTGGGAGGAAGCGGTTGTGATCTGAGGCAACTTTCACGAATATTTCAGGAGACACTGATGAAAAACACGAGAACCTCAATAAGAAAAGCTGATGTGCCGCCGACATTCGAACCAAACGACTCTAGAATAAGAGTCATGAACGATTAGCGCTACACCAACTGAATCTATCTGAATAATAGATTCTGCCTTACCAGAGGTTCATAAGTAATGTTTAGAGACTTTCTGAGTACTGGCTCTAACACAACAGATAAAACTGATGTCTACAAATTGATTTCTTTTGAACATATTGACACTAATTAAATTTGTGTCAACGTACGTCATATTTGCATTTTATTAATTCTGAAACAACAGTTTTTATAGCCAATAAACAAATGTCAAAATAAACGAGGTATGCAAAGTTGCAAAAAAAAAAAAACATCTGGGATGTAGCCCCTATGTATCTACCGTCCCGCTAATCACAGTCCGTTATTCAAATACACAGAAAAGTAATTATTTATTTTCAGAGAGCAATACGCGGTTAGAATATACGTCTCTTCGAAGAAGTGAGAGGCAGGAGGGTGTCGTAGTGGGCGGATGAGCTGTGGGGAGGCTCGACGCCGAGGCGGCGGCGCCCAGCATAGTGGTGTTTTGCAGGAACCCGTCGAGCTGAACGCTTTAGTCAGTGGACGGACTCTGACACCGCCGCACCAGTGCAGAGCGCGTGCTGACAGTAAAGTTAATGCGTTTATCACGTCGACAAGTGCCGAGATTGGCGTCAAGAAAAGGTTTAATTGCGTGCCGTGGAGTACTCAGCGTTCAGTCCGATAGCGCACAACACTCTTTTCTTTTAATAATTTCTCTGTAAGTTTAAGTTACTTTAATCTTTAATATTTCACTGTAACATTATCCAAAAACAACACCAAAATTTTTAAAGAGAACGTACCTAATTCTTATCCTGCTCATATATTATTTTAAATATTTATACAAATTAAAAAATTAATATAAACGTCTCAAAATTATCACAATAATTTCATGTAGAAGTACAGCATCTTTATTCTTTGAAGTTTCAAAATCGTTTAACATTTAATGTCAGTCAGATCTGTGACCGTACGCAGCCGCCAAAATAACCCAATGATGATTAAGAATAACAAATAATTTCATAAATCAAATGAGCATTATACAAGTTTCATCCTCAGAATTTAAAATCGCACAATTTATGGGTGAATATTTATATATTATCTACCGAAAATTCAAACACTGAGAGATTCTTCAGCCATATGCATTCAAATATTTACGCATCCATGAATTACTTTATATTAATTTTTCTCTAAAGCTAAAATATTACAATCAGTCTTTTATTTATGAGTAGACCTAAGAGTATATGTTGCTCTATAAATAATTAGAAGTTTAAAGAAAATAAAAGTTTTTTTTCAAGTTTGAGAAAATTCGTAACAAAGAAATAAAATGTGGTGTCTTAGATTATGCCATCCCAGTCAAGGTAAATGAAAAAGTAAATACACAGGAGCTCGGAGGTTTTGCTACGCTAAATTTCACCCATACCTCCTTTCATCCCAGCTTTTCTTCATTTTTTTCTTTTTTCGTCTTTGAGTCTTTATACTTCAAACACCATTACTTCCAATTCATCGATGTTCCTGTGGCTTTAGCAACACATTACACTGGCCGGGGGTGGGGGGGGTTCACTTTTTGCAGTGCTCTAATGATGCCTTTATGTTCCTCTGAAACCAACGTGGAGAGCAATTAGCAACATCAGCAAGACTTGTGATTAGGCTGGCACAGACAAGCAAATAGACATTATTAATCAAGTTCCTTTTACGGTGGATAGTTGCTATTGAGAATTAAGGATTAATACAACACAAGATCAAAAGTGTGAAGTTTTTATAATAAGTGGACTGGATTTCAAAACACTTCCATGTGTAAGTGTATTATACATTAACAAAGAGTTGAGCGTTTTATACGTTGCAGAATAGTGCCGATTTGAATATATAAAGTTAATGGTTCATTAGATTCTAAAATAACAATATTTTTTTGTTAAAAGTATATAAAAATATGGATATTAAATCAATAATATACTCACATCGTCTGTCCAGTTTTAAATATATGGTTTCTGCAATAGTGAAAATATATTTTTATCTGCCATAACATTATGCGTTTCAGTTTTTATATAAATTACGTTAATAAAACACGTTCTTAATATTGTGTACATTTGTGTTGTTAAAATATTATCCCATCAAATGTGCGTAAAGGTACAGTGGCTGAACTTCGTTGTTAATTGTCTTTGTGTATGGGATTCGTGGTTAGATGTTATGAAAATATATGAATTTATTCATCCAGAGTGTATTTTTGATAAATATAACAGATCTCTTCTCCAGAATGTATATTATATAGAGTCTCAAATATTCTAAACAAGAATACAGTGAATATAGACAACAGAGAACATCTTACATACTTTTGTTCAACAGAACTGACAACTTGTTTCTCAAAGAAGAGCATAATATAGACTTGTAAATGGAATTATGGACGAAAACGAGGGTGAATTTAAGTTTCTACGTATATCATTATCAAATTCCATCTTAACATGAATCACAAACTAGACTCCAAAGTATGAATTTTCAAGCGATGAATGATGAATACAATTCCAACAACGCGTTATGTATCGTTGTTTTCCGTGTTGCCAAAATATCTTTTAACAATACAGAGTGAAGTTAGCAAATCTAACTACGATATATCACGCATTTGTTTTCCTGCATCTCTCAAGCATCTTCTCTAAGTTACAAAATTTGTAATATTATTAGTGTTGTTCTCTGAAGCATTGTTCTTATTGCAAATTATGCGTTAACTTTGTCTTCCTTTTACCACAAAATTCATTAATTATATATTAGACTATGCAACAGCCTTATATTCAATTTCATAATTAGATGAATTAATAAGTGACGGTTGAATTCCGTTTCTTTTCAAGCAGTATTATTCAGTGCTTGTATATAAGAGACCGCAAGAAAGGATCACACATATGTTGAACTGTGCTAATATTTAGCTCAGCCTATATCGTTCGTGAATGGGATTTCCTCAGTGAACTGATTACGTCTCAAGAGTAACAATTTATCACAAACTGGAAGAAGAAACACTAGAACATACTACGAAGGGACAATAAATATTGGAACAGTTTATATCACTTGTGATTAAGGAAGTCTTATTGCTGTGGACTCGAAGTGGTGGTCAATAATTTGTTTTGGTGAACGAACACTAAGTTGTGATTTCAAACATGGCGGCGCCATCTGAAGCATTGAAATTGTGTCTGTCTGGTGCAGTGCTACTGTTCTTGGCGCCATGGACTGCCTCTTCTCTTCCCCCTGTCATCCGAGTTGGTAAGTCGATCCAATCCAGTAATAAATTATCAGGTCCTCAGTTCACTTATGCCAGATATCCATAAAGAATTGAGTTCTGATACATAAAAACAAATTTCTCCTGACAACAGAAAAGACATTTAACATATATTTCTGTGATACTTCTGCACCAAGTTTTAAACACTCAAGTGATCGACTGATTGCAGTGTACCGGTACGTGTTTATCGTATTTCTCTAAATATTTTATGAGCGCAAAGGAATATATATATATATATATATATACACACATAAAGTGTAACTGAATGGTGTGGAAAAACTTCGGGCGCGAGTTCACCTGCGAAACAACAAAGAATGTCCGTATCAACACATGTCCGGAAGCATTTAATTTGTTAGTTACAGCTGAAAGAGTACATCAATAATAAGTGCTCAGAATGTCCTCCATGAGATTCAATGCACGCCTCGACATGTCTCATCATGGAGTGCCGCCTCCGTTCAGAGATGATAGGACAGTTGCGGATAGTCTGACAGGCATCCACAGTGCGCTGTGCCTCTTCTATCAACAGGAACTGCATACACATGGGTTGTTAGATGTCCCCGCAGGTGAAACTACAGAGGATTCAAGTCCGGTGAGCGTGGAGGCCACGCAGTGGTTCCTCCTCTATCTGTCCATGTCATGATTTTACTGAGAACATCTCGCACAGCGCAGCTAACATGTGCCGGAGCACCGTCTGCATGTACCACATTCGTGCTCTGCCAGTGGTGCATGTTCCTGTAGCTTTGGCAGGGCATGTGAGAGGAAATCTCGGTAGTGGCTGCCTGCAAGCCTATATGGCAAAACATGGGGCCTAACAAACAATCACTAACATCAGAGTGGGTAACAACTGAACAGGCCAAGCTTACCGTTCTATGTGGAGTGAGTAACAGAATTTTTAGTAAATGGTCCAATACTTTCTGCATGTCAATTTAAGATGTGTAGTAGTCCAAATTGTGGAACAGTTAATTGAGTTTTTGTATGACTAGGGTTCTGTGAAATTCATCACTTTCGGCTCATATTTGGATATTTCCTTTTGGAACATGTAGCAGGTGCCTTACGACAAGCTTGAAGCCAGCTGCACGTCAGTAAATCATACACGTTAACGCGTAGAAATCTTAAATTTTAACTAGTACGTAAGTCGCAAGTTTTAGCAGGGCCTTCCTGGACCCTCGCTATCCCAAATTCCAGTCTGATAAATGTGTAGCAGGTGGCGGGGTTCACCCCTAAACTCTAGCCGCTTGAATTTGTTTTCTTCTTATGGGAGGAGACACATTAAGCAGCATCCCCCCCCCCAGCTTGCCCGGTCCAACAAATCAAAATCTGAAGTGGACGTCTTTCACCTGAATTTTGGTAACCAGGTCAGATGCCTAACTTAAGACACGTTGGCTGGAGGACTCCGAAAATTATACTCACCGGGAATACACGTGTTCGGTGTACCACCGATCATCTGCTTGTTGGTTTGTTTGTTGTTTCTTTCAAATTACTGTGCCTAGTCATCAGTAACAGGGCCGGAACCCAGTGACAGATTGAGTTGGTTACTACTGTGCACCTATTCAGTTATTGGTGCCATAATAACATATACTTTGGTCATAATAAATACTTTGAGAACTGCCAATAGATGTTATTTGTATGCTGATGGTTCTATACTAGCACCCTTAATCATCCAAGTAACAGTCGGTGACTGAGAAGAGTCAAATCTCTACCAGAACGAGTCCATTGCAAGAACGGATACAGATCCGACTTCATATTTTAAAAGCCCATAAAGCAGAAATGCATGCAGAGGGGTCTCAGAGAAACAGCCTGAACGTTTCAATATATGTAGTACCGTCTCGGACAAATTATCTCAATATTCAGTTAAGGGGACAGTGAATTTAAATAGTGAAGCTCGGGTAACACGTAATGTTACAACAGCGATATGAGTGCGAGTATGAGGGATGGGCCATAAAATACGGTCCTCGCACCGCGACCTTCAATAATCTATTGTGCTTCCCCTTTGGATTAACCCTTTATTAATTCTACACTTCGAATGAAATGTAGGACTTTATTTATGGGGGCATTATAAATGTCATTTGGTTCCATGAAGAACTGATGATCCAGGTGATGAAATCTTAAGTAAGCCTCACAGTCACATAAGATATGTGTGGCTGATTCGTCTTCTTGTAGGCACCTTTCACAGGTTGGGTCATCTGTCAATCCCAGTTTGAAAAGGTGTCCTTTTAGGTGCCAGTGTCCAGTAAGTAATCCTACCACCTATCTTAATTGATCTCTGTTTAATTTCAATAGGTCCCTCGTTTTTTGGCAGAGTCCTGATATAAACCATTTTGCCTGTTTGAAGTACAACAGCGATAACTGCCCTATCTATCCACAAGCACGAATTGTCCATCGCGTACATATTTTTTTAGAACACCGCGCCTAGGGAGTCAGCAGAGCGGCAAAGCTCTCTGTTTGAATTCGGAAGGTGCTAGATTCGGATCTCGGGCCGGACATCGAATACGACTGAGGTTTCTCGTTGTTTTACCTCAGTGCTTCAAGACCAATGGGGTGAAAATATCTTAAAGTAGGTCACAATCCTTTCCAATTAAACATTTATCTATCGTTTTATCATACAAAGCCATACAATGTGATTCTAAATTACTGTAGGGGTTTCCGTGGCCTATAATTTTCAAACCGGAAATAAAATATAACTGATTAAGGAATATGAAATTGTAACTCAGAAAGTTTATTTGGCAACGCCGTACTCACCGAATTATATCTGAGAGAAAATAAGGGCTCATGCCTCAAAATGGCGGATGTTCGAGAAAAAGCAACGTGAGTACTTTGGTTTTTCGAAACGAAGTCCGTTATCAAAAAGCTGCTTCGTTATAGAACTCAGAGCAACATCGGTTACTATTCACTCGTCGTTTTTCTGACACTACATGTTTCGGCCTAACCAGCCATCATCAGGTGTTACAGTTGCTGTGATGAAGGAACCTGCTGCTCACTTTGAAGCTGTTCTGCTTCTTTTATGTGTTTGCCTCGGGTTACTTCTGGTTTTGTGGGTTAACCACCTGTTTTAATTTTGGTGTCCCTGAGCTGCACATGTTTGTCTTACGATTCTGTTTGGCTTGTCGGCTGTGGCCGTCTTGAATGTTCTTGCTGAGCTGGGAGTTTGTTGTATGGCGGTCGGCCGTCACGTTCGTTCTCTGTCGGTGTTTCCGTAACGTCGATTATGTTGCTATCTAGGATTCAGAGTCTGTTGTGTGCTGCTATCTGGTGTTCGATTCCTGTAATGCTTTGAAACACCTCATCGAAGTCAGTCCCGCTCCTAAGATTCCTATGGCATTCAACATGAGACTGAAGAAAAGTGCAAACTACACACAAAACAAACTCCGTGGCTTGTAGTCCGAAATCGAACTATACCGACCGAGCGATAGCCGCTTGTCGAAGATAGTGTCAACTTTTGCGGATGGAGACTGTCGCGTGGTCAAGGCAACGGATCCTCACGGCCGTTAATATCGATTCTCTAGACCGGAGACGCTAATTTTCCATTCAAGTAGCTCCTCAATTATCCTCACGAGGCTGAGTGGACCCCGTTCCAGACCCACTACTTCTCAGAAAATCTGGTAGCGCCGGGAATCGAAACCCGAGACCTCAGGATTTGTAGCCAGTACCATTCAAATATGACAAGAACATATCAACAGACGAAAGGCAGCTGACGAGAAGAATCGAACAAGAAATATATCCAGAACGAAAGAAGCCACGGACGAAAGTTCAATGAAGAAAGACTACTGAGGAAAGTTCAGAAAAGGAAGGCGATATATACGGCAGCAAAATTTGTTACGAATATTTCAAGATAAAATCACTATCTGACTGGATTCGGTGTGGAAAATTTAAAAACTATAGTCCATTCGCGGAGACGAGACAGTCAGCGTAAACAAAGCGAGCCCCGCGTCGCCACAGCTGACAGCAAGGAGTGGACAAAGCGCGCAGTTACTCAGTGTACTCACTGCATTCGGAGGCACGTTAACCTGCATTCAGACTGAAGAGTGAACTTTGGACGCCCCTGCAACGATACACGCATCACGTGATCGCTGCATGATTTCATTCAAAGAGCGAAGGAGACACCGCGTGCATTTGTTTACGAGGACTCTCTCGTCTCCGCGAATGGACTGTAGATGCATGAATCCCGTACCTTGTATAAGATGTTTATTAATTCATGTGGAAGCCACAAAAAGAGAAAAGGCAACAAGAAAACGGGACAGAAACAGAGAAGATTCTGTTGCGGATTCTCGCTCGCACCCTAGGGACAGTTGCTGGAAGTGCAGTCTCTCCTTTTCTTTTCACTTGTAACTACAATCCTTTGGTCGCGACACTATCTCTCAGGGAAACTTTTAAAGCTATTGACGTGTTCACGGCTCCACACTTCACTGTTACCGGGCCATCGCCGGCCACTAAGGCGATGATACACGTACGAGTCTGGCTCGCGAGTCCGGCTCGGCGAGGAGTCGGGCTCGGATTAATTTCACCACACACGTATGAGCATGGCGACCCACACACGGACGAGTTTGGCTCATTGGAACCCGAGCCGAGTAGGACTCGCGAGCCAGACTCGTACGTGTATGGGCACCCTAAGCGTACGCGAATTTTCTTGATGGCTCAGCATGCTTGACGGCCGATAACGTTTGCAATGAAGGAAAATAATTAATTAGAATACCACTACACTGCATTCTGTTACACAGCGGGAACCTACTGGCCTCCATGGCCTGTTACAGGGACAGCTTAGGGCCGCGCCATAGTTAGTTAGTTACTTAGTTATTGGAGAGGGTGGGTTTCCCCATGCACTGAGACCAGTATTGGTCCACTGTGCTTCCCTCTATGATATTCTACCAGTCTCTATACCCTACCGATATTGGTGCTACCATCAGTCCCGACCGAGCCAGCGAGTTCGGCCTCTACTGGCTTGGCGGTATCTATAATGCTTCCCCCATCTATCAGAGGCGTTAGAGAC